GATTCGATATCAAGTCACATGCGTCTCTCTCTCTCTCTCTCTCTCTCTCTCCTTCTCTCGATCTCGAGACCCTTTTTTTTTCCTTCCTCCGGAATAAAACCGATCGAGATAGCGATTTTGATATCTTCGAATAGTTTCTTTCTCCCTAGTTGTTCTTTTAAATTCAGCATATATTATTGTATTTTTTTATTTTTTTTTATTTTTTGTTTTTGTTTTGGCTTGGCCTCTGCGTTATTTTTATTTTTATTGGATTATTCCAGCTATCGCAAAATCAAATAGATTTTCTTTTGAATTCTGACCAATCGATACGGGTAGACACCGAGCGAATATTTCGGTTATATTATTTTTCAATATTTGACTGTATTACTATTTACTAATTAGTTTTCCGAGTAGTCGTCAGTTACACGAGTTGTTCGTTGTCTCTCGAACTTTTGGGTTGGAGATGGTAGGATGAGTAGTGGTTGGTAAAGGGAAAAGCTTAACCAACAACAGAAATGCTCGTTGAAGTGTCTCGCATTAGCGTACACTTTCAGTGCGCGGTATGAGAGTGCAAATAAATTTCCATATTTTCATTTCCCTTTCGGTCATCTTCTCTTGTAGGAGATTACTCGTTTCTACCATTTATTCTCTCTTTTTCTTTTAGTTGTCCTAGAATATATAAAGAATAACGAGAGAACAAAAGCTATTTTGACGAGCATAATAAAAAATTTTTCTCGTTATCTTATTTTTCACTTGTTTTACAATAAAAAAAAAGAATCAATAACATATAGGAAACTTGTTATCGACAGCATCGTAACGTTACTTTCAAGATTTATTTTTATCTATATTTTATACACGTGAAGTATATATACAAAGGTATATTTATCTATTTGATTTTTTGTTTTGAAAGAATGAGAAAATCAATGAAACTGTGTAATTTTATTAAGGTAAAAGTTTTTGATTGAAAGAAAGAGAGAAGGGACAATAAATGTTAGAAACGCAACTAGACAGATGGATAAATAAATAGATAGTCAAATAGATAGAAAGAGCAGACAGTAGAAGCTTAAGGGGAAGCTAAGAAGGGGTTTCCTTTAACAGTACGTTTACGTTGCTTTTACTGCGGAGTAATGTTATTGGCAATCGAATAGGCAATACCATCGTCATCGATGTTGGGAAATAGGGAGAAAGACTCTTAACCAGAGCAATAGGAAGCATGGATGTTTTTAGGCAGTTACAGTTGAATCGTTGGTGCTTCTGACAGATCGAGAACTTCGAATAGCGACTTTCCGGTCATGAAATCTTCGATATCGCATAATGGTCTAAACATAAATCACTTTTACTAACGGATATTCTTTACTCCCTCCTTTTTTTTCTTTTTCGTAATTTTGTCGAAGAATCTGAAAAACGCGGGGAACTAAACCAAAAGATCTTACTAAGCAGAATGAATCACACAGTATCATACAATTCATAAGATGTTCGAACAAACTCGATAAACGTGTCAGAAATAGATTTCTATTGAGGAAATTAAATGAAATTAAAAATGAAAACTGGATAAGTTAGTATTTTGAAACTGAAGATGTACGTATCATCAGAGAAATCTTTCTCTTTCTTTCTATTTCTTTACAATATAAATTTCGTATCGATTGAAGTGGAAAAAAGAATGGGGAAAAGCGTTGTTTTCTATGAATCGTCCGGCGTGTTCTCGTTCGCACTTCTAAAGTACGTTCGGCTCGATGCCAAAGTTTCTACCTCACTGGGAACGCTTTCATCGTCACTTTTCCTTTTCTTTTTCTATATTCTATTTTCTTTTTTATTTTTTTTTATCGCCACCTTGAAACGTACCGAAAACGTGTAACGTTTCTCGTCTCTCATCGAAAACTCGTCCACTAATTGTCTATCAAGAAAAGGAAAGATAAAGAAAGAGAAGAGGAAAATGTAAAATCCTAAAAAACTTTTTAGAAAAAAAATTCGATTATTTTATCTTTTCTCATCAAAGGTTTTAAAGAGTGTTCCCAACTGAAGGAGGTTAACTAAATATTTTTTTCTTTATTTTTAATGATATGAAAAATATTTAAGGTATACTTTGATTGGTTTTAAAAAAGGTATGTCATGGAAAACCAAAATTTTCTCTCTTTCTCTTTTTTTCTGGATACGAAAGTGTAACCGTTTGAAAATTTTCAAAAAAATGTCCATCTACGAACTTCTCATTCAACACGAACAAATATCTCAAATTTTCAGTCATATTCTGGCGTACTTTTATACGTAACAGCATCCGATCGCGAGAGTGCTAAAAAATTGCCATATTGGTAGTAATGCCGGGTAGGTATAGCGTGAAAATCTAGTACTCGCGACCGAAAGTGTTAAATGGGTTCAGGCTGCCACGAAACGCATGGCTTTTACCTCTGTAAACCTTTAAGTAGGTCACTTTCTCTAACAATAATTCGTTTTTTTCTGAGTTTTTTATATATCGAGGTATTTTCTCGTCTAAAGACGGTACCTACTGTTATATATAATCTTTTGATTGGGAGAACGAAAATTGAAGGGTTGCTTGTTAACTAAAGAATAGAATGAGATCGAGTATAGGTGAGAATAAAATTTTAGAACAAACAATCTAGAGCAGAAAGAAAAGTGGAAATGTAAAAAAATATATCAACAAAATCTGGAAGAACGAAGTTTACGTGAGCTTTTTTTAAATATAAGAATTTCTATCGTTCATATTAATTAACTTTTGTGTTATATGAAAAATTATTTTATTGGAATTATTGTATCAAAATTAAATGAAATATTGTAATTCGTTTTCTATCTGTCTGTCTGTCTGTCTGTCTGTCTCTCTTTCTCTCCTTTTTCTTTTTTGTCATGACTATCTTTGTTGAGAAGAACCGCACAGAATTGGGTTCGAAGTGGGACGTTAATAAAACTAGAGCTTTAATTGCTAAATTCCCTATTGATTAATGGCGCTTCGAGACAGTCAGGGAATGAGATGGATGGTACTTCGAACGACTCAACGATTTTAAAGAGGAACATACCAGATCATCTCTCTACGTTTTAAGTTATTAATTTATATACTCGTTTAAAACAATTATTATTTTCTCTAAATAAATATTTATTTATTATATTCATGCATACAACGTATAATATAGTATACTCAACAAACATATATATATATATATATATATACATATGCATAATCTTTTTTCAAAATATTTTTATTTTAATGAGCAAAGATGCAAAGATAATATTATCAAACAAACAATAGGAGCAACGAGCAAACAGAATTCGCGATACACCTTTTTTTTTAGCCGTTGGGTGCAGCATCTGTTTATAATAGTGTGCGAAAACGCACGGTGGTAACGAGACGCATATTAAAAGCGAGCGATTCGAGATGAAGAAGAAGAAGAAGAGAGAAAGGGAGAAAAACGTGGTAGGGGGATGAATAGAGTGCGAGCCTGAAAGATAGAAAGATAGAAAGAGGAATCGCGGATAATAATTTAGATAGCGGCGTTGGAGACGATCCCATTTTCTGCAACAGACATAACGGCTTTGCTTTCCCAGCCGGAACAATCGCGTCGTCCTCTCCCCTATGCTTTCTTGGCGAGAGCTTGATACCGCCAAGAGAGTCACATAACTGTCACGGGGTGGCGTGATTCACGTGAAAGATGGTACTCGACCCGATACATTTACGGTCCTGCTTGGCGCCATAATTTTATTGTCGCCGGTTAGTCTTTACCAAGTACGGAACACGCCTATTTTGAGAGATCATTGACGAATATATTGACTTTTCTAATAACTGTTAGTTATAACTGACTAATCAACTTCCGAGTCCACTTATCAAGAGAAAGAGAGAGAGAGAGAGAGAGAGAGAGAGAGAGTATAATTATAATAATAATTTTAAAGAACGATATCGTTTACGAATATATTGAGAGTCTTCTAATAACTATTAGTTTTATTAGGTATAGAAATTTGGTACGTTGATATTGAATGGTACATTTATAATTTTGATTTGAATGTAAATAATCGATCTCCATCTTAGAAGTTTTAAGTATCAACATTTATAGTTATGAAACATTTGACTACTAGTCAAAACCAAAACTATTATTTAGTAAGCAAAATGGCAACTCATATTTGTTTTAATATTAATTTCTATACCTAATATAATTGATTAATCAATCTTTGAGTCTTCTTATTAAAGGTGTAAACATAATGATAATGTTAGAAGCAATTTAATTAGAATGAAAAAGAAATTTTATCGTTTTCCAGTTCAATGTATTGTGTACGTAAATAATATTTGTAAATCATTAACAAATTAAAATATATCGAATATTACGTTCGCATATAACAATGTGTTTTTCAATCAACTCAAAATTGGAAGGATCAGTAAATATCGATAGGATATAGCAGAAATAAAAGTAACTAACGTTGTTCGTTGAAATTCTTGAAGCGTGGATAACGAACTGATAGGCAAGCACGAGAAGATGCGTGTATCTATTATAACGTTGAAATTTGTGCACCACCTCTGATGTAATACGATCGCTTATCCGTACATGAGCGAGAAATGTGCTTAGTTTGTCGCGTTGTCGTTGAATTCATAGGGGCGGAAAGAGTAATTATAGTTTAAGGAGGTACATCGAACTACGTACGTTACATTGTACGATTTCCTATACTATTTCCGTTACCACTCACTATACCAATTTACAGTTTGAATTACCTACGAGATGTAGTTAACGGTAGTTCCTCTTGCGTTGATTACGAAGCACGGTTAACTTACGGCTTTGGTTGAGTTGTCTCGATACCGTGGCTCGAAGTAAATTTTATTAAACTCATCGTGCGGTTTACGCAAGAAAATTGAACCGTTTTTCTATATATACAATCTACGTGTACTTACGTGAAATTTCATATTCTCTCTTTCTCTCTTCTCTTATTATAGAAAATAAAAATTTTCATATAAATTTATGGAATTTGAGTAGCGTTTCAATTTCATTGTTAGGAATAGTGAGATAATGAGGAATAAAATTGTGACTTACTGTGACTGTGCGGAGATGCATCCCCGGTAATAGGGGCAATAAGAGGTTCGTCGACAGCTATTTCCATGTCCGCAGATTTTCGGTATACGTCAGAAATGAATGCTATACAGCTTAAGCGAAGCCGGCCGTCTCGAAACATGTCATTGGTGATTTTAAATTCTATATTTGATCTCGTCTTAAAGGTGTCGTCCTCTAGATGAATCGAATACGGTCGTATTCCAAATTGTGAATTGTTGCTCGTTATCTGCGAATATAATTACACACACAAACAAACGCAAGTAATTTAATGACATGTAATGATAAATATATGTAATTGATTAAATTCGGTTTAAAAAAAATAATATTACACATTGTTTTTAAATCGAGAACAAAAAAAGGAAGAAGAAAAACATGTTGGGGTACGTGAGGGTAGGAAGCATTGGAAATAAAAAAAAAGAGATTTGAATTTCGTGCACTTTTATTATGAAACATCGTCGCGAGATCGACTCCCATTTTCTTCGAGAAGTAAGAAAGAAAGGCCAAAGGAATACTAGGAAAAAAGAAGATGATAGGCGAGTATCTCTTGGCGTTATTACTTCGGGGAACAAACGAGACTATGCATCAAGTCCGTAGACTTCGCGATGATGCGAGACCAGAGGACGCATCCATAAAGTATAATGCATAAAGCTCGTGCCATCGTGTTGCATATCCTCTTTTCGTAAAAACCATCACCACCCTATCTCATATCTCTCTTTATTTCTCTTTCTCTCTCTCTTCTACGCGTTCTCTTTTTCTTTCGTTCCACGTTTACGTTGCGTATTTCAGTAGAGTGTAGGCAGAAATGTACATAGAGGCATGGAAAAGGCTTCTCTATAAAACGTCATCTCATCGCGTTACGATACCAGATAGAAAGAATGAGGGAAAAAGAGATAGAGAGAGAAAGAAAAAGACTAAGAAAAAATCGTATTCCGCCATTTGGCACGCACCAAACTTACATCAGTTACATTGCGAGCTATTAGAAAAGGAGAAAAAAGATAACGCGGTAATACAAACACAGACACGCATAATTTCCTACTTTTTCTTTAATATTTATCATCGAAATTACTTATGATGAAATACTACTGAAACCTTTCGAAACAAAATGGCAGTGTCAATGAACGGAAATATCGTATTATTATTATTATTATTATTATTATTATTATTATTATTATTATTATTATTATTATTAGTGACCTAAATCGTATTATAATGCATTTATTTCGATACATAGTTATTTTAATTGAAAATTATTGAAAAAAGATCATATCAAAAGGAGATATATCGTTTTGTCATATATTTCATTTATCATTATTTTACTTTTTATTTTTAAAAGATATGAAATATTTTCGATCATATGAAATATTTTTGCATAAAATCCAAATGATATTTCGATTCATTTCCTCGCTTGAGATATAATTTCTCTCTAGATATATTTACACAAATTCTCGGTTCTGGAAGATAAAAGAGAAAGAGAGAGAGTAAGAAGAACTGACAGGGATCACATTTTCAGGGAAAGTAATAAAGAGTGAAGATGTCGGATGAGAGCTTAAAAGTTGAAGAAAGACAGAGAGACGGAGAGGAAACACTCTCTTTCTCTCTCTCTTTTTTTTGTTCCTTTTTCTCTCTCTAGCTTCTTTTCTCTCGGCGTTATTGCTTCGAGTAACGCACGAGATGTTGTATCGTGTCCGATGATGACGTCGAACTACCACTAGCTGGGTTCATAAAATGCAAGGAACGAAACTGCTGTTGCCGCCATCTCTGCAACTGATGCTGTCCGCCCTTCTGCATAATCCATCTGTCTTTCTCTCTCTTTTTCATCCTTTTTTTTTCTCATCGTTCGCAATCACGTGCACGGCAAAAGAATAAGAGCGGAAGAAAGAGAAAAAGAGAGAGAGAGAGAAACTAACAGAGGGAAAGGGATACACGCACGTTGTGACTTGTTCTACATGAGACTGTATGTGCGCATATCTTCATTTATTCTCTGACATGTATTTTACCCTTCCTTCAATGTATTTTCAGTGTATCTCTGGTAATCCTTCATTCTTGTAATGTATTCGTAGGCCAAGTTGTTGATATTTAAATGTATATATATATATATATATATATATATATATATATTTTGTTTGAAAGATTAGAGAAGAGTACGCTTTGTGTATTATTATGTTAAGAAGTAAGACGTGAAAAGTAGTGCAAGATACAATGATAATTAATTAGTAATACGAGGAACTAACTATAAGCACTTACGATTCTATTCTATTTTACTTCTTTTCTATTTTATACGAAATTCCGATTTTTAATCGTTTAATTCTTAAGAAAAGCAACTATTATCAAATAATAATAAGATAATAAAAAAAAACATGTGTGCAGATCACACATGTTAGAAGTGAAACCTTCAAAAATCTAAGTTTCGAGAGAATGAGACGAATGCACAGTTTCAAGAGTAAGCTAATTGTAGGATTTATTTATTATAATATTAATACCATATACAATAAAGGTCACCGGTATGGTCTCTGGGTGGAATAGCTGATAAAAAGTACACTTTTCCAAATTCAAGCAATAAAAATGGAATGCTGAATGCGATAGTTATAAATAGACACCAAAATCGTAGGATGTTTATCAAAGGAAATATAATTCGTCAGAAATTAAGTAAATATAAATAATACTTTTTTTGAAACTCAGGTATAAAATTTTTTTTGTTAGTATGGTTTTCAATTTCCCGTTTTTATCTACATTCTTGCGCTGTATAACAAACATTTTAGGATAGACGAAATAAAGACGTTACGAAAAACATATGGAAAATACTGCTGGACTGAACAAAGGTTCTGGTAAAATGCAATGAGAGATCTAATAAAGATATTCTCTAGAAATATTTTTTCAACTCTATAGCCTGCCACACTTCGAGACCCTTATTATTTAWAACATATAAATCGTCTTTATTCTTTGGACCACAAACTTATCTTTCTAAGTACTCTCGTCTAAATAAAGATCTGAACAATGAAAAATTTWAAAAATGCCTTGAATYGTATCGCTTTCTMAGCTTATCGAACTATGTACACTACGAGTCTCAAATTTCAGTCCCRTGGTAAGCCCYACGATTCACGCTGGGCGYTCAACATCTTAAAAATGTTYTTATTTTATTGAAAAATTAGTATAAGTTTCTTAAATACGCAAATATRACAATTAATAAWATAWTTTTCTTATATGCATGGGTCAGTACATGTCTTTGGATATTTTTTATAAAAACATATAAAAATCAAATTTAATAGACATATTGTGTCTTTATGAATCAAATATATTTTATAAAGAAGCAAAATAAAAATGTGACAGTAATTTACTTGCTTTTGAGTGGAATTTGTCAGCTGCTCCTAATGTATCCTACAGTGTTCTCTAATTCTTTTTCTCTGATGTATCTAGTAATCCTTCTTTTTTAAACATATTTTAGACAATACAATTATTATATTCTATATATTTCATAGTTATTAATGATAATATTTGCAAAATAAAGAATTTAATATAAATTTTTCTATAAAATAGAAACATTTTTAAATAGAAATAGAAAAATAGAAAAATAGAATAGAAAAATAGAAAAGAAATGACACGTATAAATATACCTTCCAGCTCACACAGACTTAACACTTATATAACTTACAAAGACAGACTTTACACCTTCTTTCTTTATTTTGACCGTTAGTTCGTTTGGACCTTATTCTTTTGTCGCATACCTACGTGCTTATCTCTGTTTATTCTTCTACACTTCTATCACTCCTACCTACAAACATTTTGAGTATCGAAATAATATGTGTCCACGCTTCGTAGTATGCAGTTGCACACAAACACACACATATACAATATCAAGCAGGAGCGATAACTACGAAGCAGAGCATAAAGAGGAGACCGAGAATAGGAAAAACTATATAGCTATATTCTGTCTCATTCTCTCGCAGGCTCAATCCTATATGTTTGTCTCTATTTCTCTTATTACTAAATATTGTGACCGTTGCATAGCCGCACGCCGCTCCGTTGCCTAGCTGCCCACCGCTCCGTTGCCTAGCCGCCAACCGTTCATTTTTTTTTGAATCACTCCCTATTCTAAAGAAGTTTTCACTTCAAAAAGATCTTACAAAATTCTCGTTGATTCGCATAATGCATAAAGTTTATTTAATCGATCGACACTTTTAATTTTCATTTTATTCACTTTTTAAATATTTTTGTTTATTTACATGTTCTTGCTTATCTATATTTTTACATGTATATTCATATATTTAAAATATCATCGTCATCGGGGAAACCCGGTTAGCATAAATATTTGCAATTGCAATTAACGGAATACACAGGTATACTTAAGAAGGTATTAGTAAATTTATTTTGTTATTGCTTTTTCTTTTAAGCTGTGCTTTATATGCGTATAAGAGATTATCGATAGGAAAATCAAAAAGTGGAAATAACTTTCTCTTTGAGAAGCAATATGGAAAATGTTAGTACCGATCGAAAAGAAGGTAATGTAATTGGAGCCACGTAAAAGACACGAATTTGTTTTTCCAATCAGTGTTATTACATATCAAAAGAAAAACGGTTTACGTGAATTTTCTTTTCAGTAGCTATTAGGAAACAGTGAGATGTACACACAGCAAATGTGATTTTCGTGAATCCATATTTCGTATTTATTTTGATTTAAGAATATATAGCGTTCATGTTAAATTATTTTTCAATTAAAGATACACTTTTTTAATATAAGAAAAAATACTTATCTTCTTTTTTTCTTTTAGAAAATTACATTTTAATTCAAAATAAATTGGAAAATGTAAATTTATGTCCAACATATTTTAGTATTATTTCGTTCAAAGATCTTAAAATTTTTCTACGTTATCGATATAAAAAAAATAAATACGTTTTTCTATTTATAAAACTATCCATATAAATTAAATTCGAAAAATTTGAATTTCAGTCTAGAATGGCAACCTTTTAATGTTATTACTTTCAAAAAAAAAAAAGTAGATTTACGTAACTGATAAAGAATGGAAAAAATAAATAACAAAAAAAGGAAAAAAGATAGAAACAGACTCTTATCATATTTTCTCGCGATAAAATGTAACTCCTATTTTAAATTCGATTCTTGAGCGATCACGAAAGCGATAAGTGTCTTTTAAATGAAACATCGAGTGTCGTTCGATTTCTTTGCAAGAAAGCCGTTGTTGCTTTCTCGTTTGAAGGAGAGTCTATACTGACATAAGAGTATCATAGATAAACTCATGAAAATATCGATCTAGCTTTTCGATTGTTCTTGAATTCTCTCCTCTGCTTTTTCTTATTTCGTACTCGACTCACGTAAATGTGAAAAGATGCTCATAAAGTCACAAAGCCTCATACTTTCTATACCCTTTTCTACCTTGAGCTTATTTTCCGATATATGTAGATACGCATGTACACATATTTCCATAAAGCAGTCGACGCGTGCCGCCACCTTGAATATACCATTCTTGAATATTGTACCACGAATCCCAAGAAACCACGAGCGCGACACAGGGTTAGAATTTCAACGTATTTCTCTTCTACTTTCATTTCCTAACGATCGAACCTAATTTAAAGAATCAACAAAAACATTTTTTCTGTGATCGTGTTTCGAATTCATTATATACAGTGTATTTGTTGAGAGAGAAAAATCAATTTGGTGAATTTTTATATACATTTTCTATTTTATTAATATGTACACGAGTTGAGTTAATCAAATATGTAGTTACAGAAAAAAGCTAAAATTGAGAGGAAATATTTGATGAATGAAGAGATCATAGATTTTGTTTTTTAACAAAACCAATAGTACACAAAGAGAGAGAAAGAAAGAGACAGAGATAGAAAGAGAGAGAGAGAGAGAGAGAGATCTTCCTTGGTTAAAAATATTCCTATCGATGTGTTTTGGATCCATGAAAAAAAGCTTTCCGATAAAGTCACGTGAAGCTAAACGGAAAAATTGGCGGTGAGAAAATATGAAAGAAAAGTTGATTCAAAATTGGAAGGCGCGGTTCGATCCTCTTGGCATAAGATCAAGTATACCTATACATATATATACTAAAAATACTAGGATGTCTTATCATATATATCTAAGACTACCAATACAAGAAAAATACATACACACAGATGTATACATAACCGAAGGAGTAGTGTAGCCAAAAGTATATAAGTACAAAACGTAGATAGGTAGGTAGATATATATGTATATACTAGCGTAGGTATTAACTCGGGATGTGGTGGAAGAGTGCAAGTAGCCATTGGACAATCGATGGGAGCGATTTTCTAACCCAGTGACCGGTTACACCAGGCCATCGTTATGGTCCACGCGACTCCTGCACTTTACGCGAGTTAACCACCGGTTGATAGGCCTTCTGCACTTTCATGACCTTTTCTCCTACCACTTGAAGTTTCATGGAAGCGGAAACTTCATATCAGCTTCGATCGTTCGATTTATTCCGGAAGACCGTTATCGTGGTTCACTCGAATGAATCTATTTCTCACTATCTAATCTTAATTAGTATCGCTTGTTACACTTCTTTTTTTTCTTCTTTTGTTTTTCTTTCTTACTTTTCAATAGTATCATATCATAAAAAAAAATATTAATCGGCAAGAACTTCTCTAGCAATTCAATATATTCATGTATTTAAAATTTTCAAATAAAAGTATTTTTAATAAGAAATTATAGGTTTAAATAACTTTAAACTTATTCATACAAGTTTTTGTAAATTTAATTTATTCTATATAGAAAGATTTTTAGTTTATCTTCTGATTTCCTATATAAACGCATTTTATTATATCTTTTGAAAAATAAAAGTAAATATGAGAGGAAGCAATGTTATTGGAGCTTGGGAGCCAATCAAAAACATTCAAAATCAGGAAATAAAAATGACAGGATAGTAGTAGGTCTTTTTTTTTATTTTTATGAAGTAAACGGACCGAAATGCGTCACGGCTGTTAGAAAAGATTCGAAACTTTCTATCTGCCATTACAATTGTTCTCTTTCTTTCCCTTACCTTCCTTCCAAAAACGAGAAATGTAAAAATAGAAAGCAGTTCGTACAGACGTGCGCTTTCGAGCGAACAAGCTATTGTTATACGTCATCAGGGTTTGGTGGGATAGATAGAGCCAGAGCTCACACGAAAACGCGAATTTTCAGTTAGTGCGCGAAATATCCCGTATTGCAGTCGTTGCAACAAAGTTCGTTTCGTTTCCGTGTCGACGATTTTTCATTTCTTCCGTTGTTGCAAACATAATGTCTCGGCGGTCTTTTTCTTTTTTCTCGATAATTATTAAAAATAACGTAAATATAAATTTCACCGTAGAAAATTTTCAATACGACGTTTGAACACAAATATTTTTTTCTTTTTTTATGTATTTTGTCTCCTTTTTTTCCTTCTTTTGGTTATGTATATTCTTTTCTTTTATATTTTAATTCTAATTTCTTATAATGCGTTAAAAAAAAAATTATTCAACTCTTGTCGGGATAATAATAATAATAATAATAATAATAATAATAATAATAATAATAATAATAATAATAATAATAATAATAATAATAATAATAATAATAATAATTATAAGGACGACGAGAACGAAGACAATGAAGAAGAATGAACCTCAAATCGGATTTATTTTTAGCTCGCATACTGTAAAGTTTCTTAGTTTCATATTTCATTTTTTAATTAGCAAGCTGAATCGTAATTCGATATTTCGTAGGCTCTCGTTCGAGATCAATCGAATTCTCGCTACGACACGAATTAAATTTACCCATATATGTATACCGTGATACGTCCACAGAAAGTGGGAATATAGAGATGGAGATGGCGCAGAAGTGGTGGAAAAATAGGAAAGGGTAGGTAGGTGCAAAGGCCGCTACGATGCAACCTCTCCCTATCCTCTCCCGCTACCCCTATACAAATAAATCGTTATTCCGTAGCATTTGTTAAATCAACCAAATTATTTCGTTAAATCGCAATCCGAGCTGCACACGTCGGAACATATTGCTACGTTGCTACGACCAAAGCGGTTTATGTGTTTACAATCGTATGAATTTAAATCCTCGCATTTCTTCTTCTCCCTTTCCACTTCTCATTGAGTTTCTGTTCTTTTCAATGATCGACAACAAGTCGACAACATTTTCAACAGTATATCGATATATAAAACTGAGTTGCAATACATTTATTTTCTGTTGGAATGAGCCTTTTTCCTGGGAAGATTAAAAAAAGATCCGCTAGGAGGGGCAGTACCAGTGGGGGTTACATATGTGAATTTTACACCATCCTGCTTGTACCGACTATCAGACGTACAATTAGCGAATGCACAATGTTTTGTAGGCATGATAATTTTTTTTTAAATTTTTTTGATCACAATATTTATTTATTCTAATAGTAGTAAGACGTACGTTTAACGTTGTTGTCAATAGAGAATTCAAAACATATGTACCCCCCACTGGTGCTGCCCCTCCTAGCGGATCTTTTTTTTAATCTTCCCAGGAAAAAGGCTCATTGCAACAGATATATGTTTAAATTTGTTTCGATCGATATCTATTTATTTATTAAATTGCATCATTATCGTACATTCTTTTGAAATGTTTTTGGAGTATATACTTATATATAATACATATTGTATTGTTTTTACTGTTAATAATTAATTATAAGATAATAAGAATAATATTATAGTAGAATAATTGAGTAGGGTGAATAATTACTGACAAAGAAAAGGTGAGAAACAAACAAACAAAGATATACGAGTGAGACCTTTGTTGCATAATTCAACATTTCTTATAAAACCGAATACACGGTTGACGAATAATTAAAGAAAAAGAATAAGGAGAAATAAAAATAGAAAAATAAACGATGTGTAGTAATGGTGAAGAGAGAAATAGAGATACTTACAGGATCTTCGTTGAGCAACCACGTAATGGCAGAGGCTGGACGGGATGCACCGGAGGTGCAATTTGCTCTTAGCGTTTCTCCTACTGCTACGCGCTCTTTCTCACTGCCGATAGTCGGATCCGTTTTTGGGGCGTCTAAGGCATAATAATTATGTCGTTTAACACATGCGACTGCTGCTCTCTGGCATTAATTCGACGTCTGGCGGTGTGCCAAAGACCTACCGGAAGTGTACTTCTAACTCTCTCTCTTTCTCTCCATCTCTCTCCTCATTCCTATGTGAAATCAACCCTAACTCTCCCCCTTCCCCACCGTCTGCTCGTGATTTTATCGTCTTGAGAAGGATCGTTCGAACTAAAACCACGTAACTTTTCGCGATCGTACATTACACTTTGAACTTTTTTCATGTAACGCGGAATACGCTGACGTCACGTTTTCGGCTTGCTGTAGACCATCGAGAAAGAGGGGAAGGGAAAGAAAGAAAGAGAGAGAGAGAGAGATAGATAGAATAAGAGGGGAAGATCGAATCCCTTAATCTACGGAGAGAAAGAATCGTAGCGGTTTCCGGGAATGGGAACCGTAAAGGGAAATCCCGTGCCGCGAGTTATGTGCCTCTAAAGTTCTCGTTAAACGTATCGTCGTTATTTGCGAAAAGCGGGACGCAAGGAATGTCACTATTGCTGGCCAACGATCGATTCTGTGTCCCCCCACTCTCTCTTTCCCGTTCTTCTTCTCTCCTCACCTCTTTCCGTGCTCCATTTCGTCGGTCGCATCTTTTTTTATTGCACTTTTTTATGTCCACCCTACTCTCTAGAATTCGAATTCCTGTGCTTTAAGTATCGAATCTGAGGATGAAAAGAGGCTTGGGATATTTTCATTCTCCAACGCGTGGAAATGATTGTGGCGAGTAGTATAGACCTTGCATTTCTCCGACTACTCGTATGTATAATGTTTTTTTACTATGACAATTTCAACAAATTATAATTTTTGTTGAGAACTTTGTGTTATTATTACAATATACTGAATACGTTTATTATTAAATTTCATATACGTGATAGAAAATCTGTGGGATTATTTAATTAAAATTAAGTATAAACAATAATACGTGTTGTAAATTAATGGAAATATAATTTTAATTTCAAATAGGATAATTGGTTGCTTGGGATGGAACTTTAGGAAGAGATAATTAAGTCATCGAGAATAGAATATTCCATAAAGGGACTGTGTTTTTTCCATAAATCATAAATACATTGAGTAATGTTATTATGAGTTTTTTTGAAAATGTATGCTTACCTACTACCATCATTTTCGCTCTCTCGATCAGCGTATGATAAGAGGGTTTACCAGCTGATACTTCACACTTGTACATCCCGGTTAGATTTCTTGTCACGTCTACTAGTGTTACACTAACATGATCGGATGCGTTGACCTGTGAAACAATATCGAAGCTTTAATGCATCTCCAGTTTCAATTTATCTTTTTTTTACTTGTTCTTTCATGCTTTTGCCTGACTCATCACGCGAGGTATGTTATATTTCAAAGCCCTTCTTTTTTTTTAGTTCTAGTTTCTATTTATTTATTTTTTCCTTTTTTTTTGTTCTCTTTTTCCCCCATTCTCCTCTCTCTTGTTCTGTCAATTTTCTCTACCACCATGTTGTATCGGGCTCGTACGATCGTAGCTCTCGTCGAAAGCAACACACGGATATTACTTCGCATTCTGCCGCACCATCGACTCGCCGAAATCGATCCTCCGCGCGACTAAATCTCGATCGGTTCGACTCCACTATCGCTACAACCCACACCCCACAATCCACTCCCCACAATCCTTACCCTTCCTACCTACCAGTTTCCTTCATCTCACCCTTTCGTTCTCTCATCCTCTTTTCCAGCTGATATTTATATGCATCGCAACGATCTTCTCTCTCTATCTCTCTTTCTCTCTCTCTCTCTCTCTACCTCTACCTCTCTACTTTCTTCAAACTGTTTCGTTGTTCTCTTCGATTCTTTCGACCTTCTTTCTCTTTCTCTTTTTTTCCCTCTCTTTTTTATCGTTTCTACTTTTCCATTCTTTTTATCCCCTTTCCGTTATTTTATCTATTTCTTTTTTTTTCTTTAACTTTTTTGATAAAAATAGAGATGAAACTAAAGATGAAAAAAATTTCAACGAATTCAAAGAGAAAATTATATAAAGAATAGGATAGTGTTCTCATTAGGGATAATTGTTAATATTGAAGATATATTTGAAGAATTAAATATTTTACTAATCGATTGAAAAGAGAAATCGTTACGAACTGTTAATATTTAAAACGATCGTATAATATTGCTTGTTCTTTTAATAATTACATTTATCTTTTGCAAATATTATGACCCTACTGCATATTTCGTTTTGTTTTTTGTATCATATCGATACGGTTGTTTTATTGCAAAACTCTGCTAATATTTTTCTTTTCCCATTTCTAATATTAACTCGTGAGAGATAGGTCGTTTCAACGAGATGACCATCGTCAATAACTTTTATTTGTTTTCATCAAAAAAAGAAAAGAAATATATGCGTGAAATTTTTACAACTTGATTGGTCACGTGGATAAACATAACAAAAGCCCGCGGGTATGCGAAACCCATGGGATATATATTGTGTGCGAAGGTTCGTTTAATCGTTGATCCATGCCGCTTTTGGGTTCTATAGTTTTGAATTTCAACGGTGGTGGACACGCGATATCGCAATTTTACGGAATGTAAGCACCAATCATAGAAACTACGTTTATTTTTTTTCATGCGTATTTGATGTATTTTAAACATCAGAACAATAAATAAAACCGTTTAATAAATTCTTCGAAATTAACTTTAATAAGACACGTTCTACATGAGGTTGACAAAAAACGTGAAAAAGACAATTATTTAATGATATTTAATTGCCGATAAAAGATTTTAAAGCTATGGATATTAAATTACTCGGTGAATTGATATTATTTTATATCTGTATATTTATTTTTCCACAAAATGATTATACTCGATATAAATATAAGAAAATCAATATAAATTGCTTATTTTTTTAGTATCGAAAATATTTCCCTAGAAACATGATCTTCAGGGATAGCTATATCAATATACAGCACAAGATTCTCAATTTTTTATAAGCAGTCTTATTTTTTTTAGAAGTAACAGTTTACCATTCTTCAAAATGCTTTACTCAATCTGTGTAAACTTTTAAATAAGAATAATTTTATTATATAAAATAAAATCATATTTCTAATTGGCTATTATTTTTGTTATAAGTCAAAAAAATAAATCAATATAATTTACTTTTTCTTTTAAATAAATTACAATTATTCTTTTTTAAAAATGTTTTGAAAACAATATTAAAATCAATACAATATTACCTAATATCACTAGTAATAGAACGCATAATTAAACTATCGATTAATGACATAAAAGTATTAAAATTTATTCAATCGGAATTAAAATGTTTTTCAGCATACATATTATAATAATTGGAATTTGTCAAAATTCGATAAAGTCGAATAAATTTCGTAAAGTCGATAATTTCAATGAAGCTTTTTAATATTAGATAATTTTATTATATATATATATATATATATATATATATATATATATATATATGTAATAAAATTTGAAAATCAAGTATACTTGATGCGAAAGATGGAGAAGAAAGTTTCTATTACGATAACGTAACGCGTTTTGACATTGGACTCGCATATTCAACAATTTTCTCGCTTATGTTCAAAGCAGAAAGGATGGAGACTCATTTTCACGAGTATACCCGATGAAGCGAGATGGTAACCGGGTGCAAACGATTTCGTGGTGTATCGCCGAAGGGGGAAATAGAAGGGAGGAAAAAGAAAGAAAGATAGAGAGAAAGAAAAAAAAAAGAAGAAAAAAGACAGCCTGTTTCAACGAAAATCTCAATATCCAGAACGGAATGAATTTTTGTAGCACCAAGAAAGAAGGATGAAAAATTTACGGTATTGTTTTTAGACCGTCTCGTCTTTTATAAAAGGCTCAGTAAAATTGAATCGGTTGCACGTTCGACGAAAAAAAGCAGTAGAAAAAGATAACAAAAAAATAACAAACAAACAAATAAAAATAAACAAACAAACAAGGAAAAATAAAAGAAAAGAATCGAAAAAGAGTTCCTTTTACGCGAAATGAAGTCTTTTTAACTATCCTTCTTTTTTATTTCTTCTTACCAAGAACAATGTTTTACAGAATGAACTTTTAAAACTTACAAACGATCCCTTGTTTTCTCTTTTCTTACTCTCTTTTCGTTTCATTCTTTGGTACTTCTTTTCTAAAACGTTAAGTCACTTTTTGAATCATCGTTACTTCTAATGTACACATAGAGTATAAAGGGTGTCCCAATACAAAATAGTACACTTAAAATACTTTCTTTATTTTAAATGATATGAAAAAATGTTTAAGACGATATTTCGATTGATTTGGAATGGATTATATCATCGGAAGAAAATGTTATTTTAATGTAATTTCTTATGGATTTTTTTCAAGATCTTTTATGTTATAAACGTATATATTTTTTTTTATATTTTACCTTGTAGAGGGTGAAAAAATACATTTAAGTAAACCTGTAGGACTACTTTCAAATGACTGTAAACACCAAAAATATGATAAAATTTTAAGTCACGTAGGCCCCCAAGTATGTCCTAAACATTTTTCATATTATCATTAAAAATAAAGAAGATATTTAGGTGGTCTTCTTAAGTTAGGACACCCCGTATACGTAAAACCAGTCTATCTACTTGAAAGAATCCTCGGAACGTTTCCAAGATTCGATCGGTCTGTTTTCCTTTTTTTTCCTGTTTTCTTTCAACGTGGTTCGATGTTGCTTGTGATTAAAGAAAAAAGAATAAGAAGAAGAAAGATCTACCCTAGTGACTGGCTAGCTCTAGGGAAATTAACTAATCTTGAGAAGATATTTTCTTAGAAGAATTAGATGTTCTTTTTCCTTTTGAATCTATGAACAAAAGATCGTAATTTAAAGTATAAAGAATGAACGCATGTTAGACGTTATTAGAAATACACGCTCGCCCAAGTTAACCATAACCATATAAGTCGATGTAATATTTCAGTGTTCCACGTTTATTTGTCAGGAATTACGTTTCTCTCGGAAAAAGAAAGAAAAGAAAAGAGAAGAAAAAAGTTGAACCGGATAGAGGGTTGAGGGAGTGGTGGTGGGGATGGGGTGGAACGAGTACCTCGACGACAGTATGTGCGCGAAGAAACCCGTAAGAATGATGGGAGACGGTGCAAGGAAAACTAATGCTTAGAGAGATGTTTTCTTTTGCATTTCTTTCTTCCACTTTTATCTGGCAAGTCCGTAGAGAAGTGGGAGATAAAGATAAAGAGAGAGGGATTGAGAGAGAGAGAGGGAAGGAGGAAGGGAGAAAAAGGATGGAAGAGAAAAGTAAAAAGAATTTTGGGAAAGTAAAAATGATTAAAAAAAAATCGACAGTAGTTTTCTCAATTTTTCTTATCATTCAAAACGAATTATAACGAGTTTAACAATTTCTTTTCCTTTCTGTAATTACAGTCTCGTAATTTAAACCCGAATTGACTCGTTATTAATAACTCGAGTTAAAAGTAGAAACCGTGAAACCATGGTTCGTATAGCTTTTCAGACTGTCTGGATAAATGAATGTCTTTGAAACTTTTCTTAAAAGTTTTACAGCTTTTTTTATCTCTACTGAAAGATAAAGAGAGAGAGAGAGAGAGAGAGAGAGAGGGAGAGAGAAAGAAAGAGAGAGAGAGAGAAAAAGAGAGAGAGAGAGAGAAAAGATATTCTTTATCGTCTTGGAAATGAGTTAAAAATCTAGCTTAATCAACGCTTCCATTTCGAAGAAGGTAAATGTTATGTAATAGCAAAAAATAATTTTACAGTTGAAATATGAATGTGTGTGTGCGTGTGTTTTTATGTAAAAAAAAAAGAAATTAAATTCATATTCTTACATATATGTATTATATATGTGTACGTAAACGCATATCCCAAAGTAATATATTAATCACTCGATTCCTGACTTTCGTTGCGGCCTGCAAAATAAATCCAATATCGTTTTTTAATTACACATCGACCGAGTGGTTTCCGATTCGCATTAGAGCGTACTCGGTGCTTCGGGTTCGCATCGCACTGGATACATGTAATGAATGAGGGTATGGCAAAACCGCAAGCGAAATTTTTGAGTTATTAACGGGAAAAGTAGCGTTTAATCGTTTCTCGATTCGCCGAGTTGGTCTGAACTCACGATAGATTATTTTGTCACAAATGATATATATCAAACTTGTCGTTTACTTTAATTCACATAATTTTAATATTATTTTTCGTTATGTAATATTAATATTTTTATACTCACGGTTGTACGATAGTGTTTAATGTATATATAACGTAATAGGTGATATAATGTATCGTCTATGTTCAGTTAAATGTCATTAATTGTACTTTTCGTCTAAAATGATTTATGTAGCTAACCATTGCTTAAAATTTCAGAAACAATCCAATTAACCAACTATTACTTCGTGAAAAGTATTAATAATAGGGTAAGCTTTGATAAAAAGCATACATTTTTCAAATCTGATTTTTCCCAATTAAAAATTTGTTTGACGAGCAATATAATTCATGTCAGCTTAGCATAAATATTAAATATTAACTTTTTATCTGAACATGAAAGATATAATCATTTAATAATATCTCATTAAGGGTAATTATAAATATGTAATATTCCCATTATTTAGATTGGATTAATAATATTATCTTCTAAAAAATAATTAAAAAAGTAAATATAATATATAAAATTATGTATAATTAATTAAAGAACAAAGAGAGCATCGAAATGAAAAAAAAATATATGAAAAATAGAAAAGTAGGATCGATCAAAGAATCCAATATTGCAAGATAGGATGAGGAGTAGGATTTTTTTTCTAGATAGTAAGAAAAATCAGAGGATAAGGTTTAGGTGTCCTCGATCGCAAAGGCGTTGACTTGATTCTCGTGAAACACGGAGGCCGCTTGACCCAGGTTCAAATTCACTCGAACGGAATTTCAAAGGGTCGTGCCGTGGTCGTAGCGCCGCCCATAAATCAGCCCTATCGATTTTTTTCTTCTCGACGAACTCGAAGGATTTTAACCGTCCTACATGGTGTTACCTACGCCGTCGAACTTTTCTATGTATCTAACCATACCTACGTATATATACATAACACATATATTCAAACTTTCCTGTGTACGTTAGTTTGCTATGTTCTTGAGTAACTCAGGAGAGAAACGGGGGAAAGAGAAAAGAACTAAAAAAAAAAGATGAGAGAAAAAGTTAAACCTCTCGTCCTATAGTACGTTGGAAAAAGTATCAAAAACCTTCCGTTTATCGAGACTCCTTCGCTCGTAGAAAAATATATTATGGTCGTGAGAGGTGCGATTCCAGCGTAAAAACCGATGCATTCGAAGCCGAGTGGAAAAATCAGGTCGGCTTACGGTTCTTATCTTTCTCTCTTTCTGTCTCTCTCTCTTTTCCTTTCTCTCTCTCTTGACGTTGGACAAGTACACGACGCTGATAAATGTCCGCCTCGAGTTTCGTTCTGCTACTGCTTCGAGCTTCTTTAACTGTATCGTTTCTTGTTCGCTCACTTACATTGGCTGACTCTTGAAAAAATTACGCGTTTCCTGCGGAAATTTTCCTAGACCGACCGACGACGACCATTGAATATAGAGAAAGGGTGAAGGGGAGATGAAGGAAGGGGACAGAAATGAAGAAGAATTCCAAATCGCTTATTAAGCGACCAAAGTTATGATTTAAATTATTAAAGGACGACGAGAGAAGCAAAATTATCTAGCGTGCACAAATTTTACACCTCCAGCTTGAAAGTTAATTAATTATCTATCTTTTCGTGTTCTTCGGTTCTGATGGAATTTGAATAGGGGAATAAAAAACTAGTACGTAATCGTGGTTAATGAAAATACCGTAAGTCGTATAAATTCTATTGACAGTTCATTGTCCCTTCTTTTCTTTTTTTCACGCAAGTATTTCATTGTCGATGTGTAATGAGTTTTTAATATTTCATCTTTCTTTTTTTTTTTTGAAAGAATCGATAAAATAAAAAAAAAGTAGAGGAATTTTTATTCGATAGGTAAGGTCGATTAATTCGAATAATTTTTCTTTGAATATCATATTTTTTTAATTAAATTTATCCTTTGAGTAAAAAGTATAGAATTGATAGTAATTTTTATATGATTTGATATTGGAAATTGCAGCCGATGATACCAATTATTTTACGTTCAGCCTTTTATCAAGAACGAGTTCATTTTTCACTCACCTTTTTTTAATATACCTATGTACATTTTATTTCCCTTTTTTATATATATATTCATTAATTCATGTTTATATTTAGCAATAAGATATAAGTCGATTATACACGAGTAAGATGTATTTTATAATTGTACCTTAAGTACTTTGTATTATTTTAGCTTTTCATACAATTACATTATATAAATTATTTTCCATTATTCCTGCAATTAGCTCGATGCAAGGAAACACGTAAATTTGATGATGAATTTCTATTTTGATAAATAAAATAAATGTGCCCATAATTAAGAAAGTGGTCTAAGTCAAAATTAATAAAAAATGAGTTTATCAGTTATTACGCACTACATTATTATAAACTGAATAAATTCAATGTAATTTTCACGATATTATCAAAAATGAATCGTTAAATAATGTCTGTTATTTCAATATTGTATAGAATTCATATAGTGTTCAAGTATAAATCTTTAAATATCTCGAAACAAGAGATATATGACTTAGATCACTTTTATAATTATGGGCACAAATGACTTATTGTAAATAGTAACTTGTTTCTTTTCAATTGTTTTTAATAGAACCTTTGAAACGACAATACTTTTGTACTTCAACATTATATTATTCGATTTCTTTTTTGATGAAAAGAAAAATTGTTGTGCTTAACGAGAAAAATATATAGACGTTAATTAAAAGACAAACTGTGAAAGCGCATAATTAAAAGTCAAGTTTAAATTAAGTAATAGAAGAAGCTATAGAGATACTTACATTAACGTGTATTCCGCTCACATTGTATGCGCTTTTGCTTGGTATTCGTTCGGTCACGTAACGATAGAATTCTACCTCTTCTAAGCTCCATTGAATGCTATACAACGGTGAGCCCTCTAAGTCGTACGAGCAAGTCAGTGTGACGGTGTCACCAGATCTTACCATTGCTGGTACGTTGATCGTTAAATCCTTTAAACCCGTAACACCTGGAAAATATTTAACGAGAACGTGCTACGAATTACATTTACGTGTGAAACAAATCCTGTGCATGAAATATCATAACGCTAGGCCTTATGTTGTTACGATGAGAGTAACATTTGTCAAATATTTTATTTATCTTTTACAAACTTCCGTGCGTTATAAACATTTATGGTAAGAGCCACAGAGAAAGAGTAGTTTTAACCAGAAATACAGTGTTTTAGTCGTTGTAAATCCTACGAAAAAGAATGGAAGAGAGATAGATGGAGGTGGAAAAAGATTGGAGAATGAGAGAGAGAGAGAGAGAGAGAGAGAGAGAAAAGCACTCGAGCAGATTTAGGTAAAAATATTTTTAGCGAAAAAGCGAGTGAAGAGCAGAAGCGACTATGTGAGTGCAAAAAAGAAAAATTAAAAAAAAAAGACAAAAAATAAAAAAAAACGAAGAAGTAAAAAGGAGTACGGACGAATTAGAGAGACGAACGAGGTGCAATAATTTTTCGAAGTGGAATTATTATCGTGTCGCTGGGAATTGGTAATATCGTTTGTACTGCACACGAATCATGTACCGGTTTGGTTTGTCTTCGAGATCACAGAAACGTATTCCCATTGAGACCACAAAATAACTTACTTGTTCATCGTCTTTCGAAGAAAAGCTTAGAATCAAGATTTTTCTCTCGCAAAAAGGGAATCAAAAATATCGATTCTATCGTTTACGATGATTGGATCATATGTTTGTCGATAAATAGATCATAAAATTTGATAGTATGGGTTCGTCGAAAATTTTATTTCATTTCTTTTTCTTTTTTGTATTTTATTAATATGTCGTCTATTTTCAGCCAAAAGACACTAACAAAACTTTTCTATCAAAATGTATGTTTGGTAATTTACATTGCTTAAAATTTTATCAAGAATCGAATTTACTGTTTTTTTTTCTTTCTGCAACAATGCTCATAGTTATCACTTCCTGCAGTTTGAAAACCAATGTCCTTTTAATTGTGCTGTTTTATCAGATCTAATCTACTAATCAAATTTCAATTTAATATTTTAAAAACTCACCTTTCTTGAATTCATATATTATTTAGTTGAAGTATTTAAAAATACCTTTTTTCATACTTTGACTGGTCAATATAGTTATTTTATAATTTAGCTGATTATTTCATGAATAAACAGATGTCATATTTTAACGGTAATATATACATGCAGAATATTCTTATAATAGAAACTCATTGCATCCTTTAAATTTGTCATCAAAGGAAAAGCTGCAATGGGTAGCTTTCGAGCAGAAATCTTCCTACCGTATATCATCCTTTGCATGAAATTTAATCTAAAATTATGTGTTTCAAACTCGATATTGTGGTATAGCTGTCTGATGAATTCTACACGACACGTACCGTATAGCAAGGTATAATATACTTCCTAAACTCTAGTATTATATACAAAGTCAAACTTAATCTCATGTCCCTAAGAAACATACGGACTCGTATTTACTGCATTTCTCTTCCTTTACCGTGGTCCACTTAAATCAACTCTATACCTTTACCACCCACTTTCAATATCGTCCTTATGAAATATTAATAGTTATTGTCAAAAATCCGTAATTTGAGAAATAAAGAAAATGAAATAATTACAATATTGTGAAATATGTTCTCTCGATCGTTTTCGACATTCTTGGTGCCCGATAATTATCAGTTTATTACGTAAGTCTCTATTTAGAGATCCTTTGAAACTAGTCGCACCCAAGGGAATCCGGTTCCTTATTGCTGAGTATCCATAGTTTGGAAAACTATAAAGCTGAGTTTATTATGGATATATCTCGTTCTTAGTTGTGGGGTAAATGTATAAGGTTTGACGTATATACATATATACACTCACATTATATTTCAAATATCAATTTTTATCAAAATATTTAAAATTTACAAAATATACAGTGTCATGTTGTTCTATTACAACTACCATTCACGATAATGGGAAAAAAAAGAAAGTTAACTGCTTCTATTATCATTGAGAAAGGACAGGTACCACATCTTTTTCATTCTTTTATGTACTTTTTTCTTTCTTGTCTTTTCAAATCTTCCTTACTCTCTCTCTCTCTTTCTAACTTTCTTTTTACCTTAGTGACTTATGTTGTACATTTGAGGAACAAGTCGTACTTAACTACGTGTATACCTAGGTGTACGTAAGCGCAGGAATTTACCAAAGTTAACCACATTCCCGACCGATTAATTTTCATAACAGCCGTTTCTAATCTGCAGCTTTGCCCTTTAACACAGCGGATGTATTTCATCCGACCCATTAGGGCTACAGAGAAAATCAGGTTAACCGCCGTATCTCGGCATCTTCGGCGGTACGGATCTCTAATTAGATTAATAAATAAGATCGTGCGATGGTTAAAGAGATACGAGTGAGCAAAATATATAGAAGGATTGTTTAATTAACAAAATTTAAAATTTCAACGAATTATGTTTTACGAGCGTTGCTCGTGGAAACTCTTACTTTTCTCTATTTCATTTCAATCGAAATGAAACACAGAATCAGTTATCTACCACGAATAAATTAATAGCTTCCATGTTGATGAATGTTTCATGTTTAAAATCGATTATTTCAATCAGAAAAAACTTTTTAAAGGAAAAGTATATACCTTTGATATTTTTATTCGTATTTATAATAATAATTATATCATTGACAAAAATATGAAACAACTGTAAATGTTATTTCCGTTTCACGAATATTTCAATTTAAGGCCTTGTTGTTTAATAAAATCATGTCATCTTGAATTTATGGAAAATAAATTCTGGGATATCCTGATGAAGATTCTCATTGATCATCTGACTTTATCTAACTTTCCTTTTTGGTTTTTCCTTTTTTTTTCATTTTATTTTTCTCTATACATACTTGAAAAAAGCGATGAAAAGTGAAGATCTTATTTCCGTTTTGAAACGAGGGTGAAAATGTACGAACTGAGAGACTCAAAAGCGTAAGAAAAGGGTGAGAGTGATAAAGAGGAAAATGAGGGAGAAGGGAAGAGAAGAGAAGAGAAGAGAGAGAAAGCATTATGGTGGGTCGTCGCGATTAGACGGGCTTCGGTCTACATCCTACGACACCCTAGAGATGTTCAGACGTCCTAAATGGACTTTACGCACACCATTAGGTTTAAGGGAGAAAGAGAGAAAGAGAGAAAGAGGAGATAACTAGCCATACGCCTGAACCTTCCAGTCATGGCTAATTACTATAATAAATAACGCGTGTATATACGTTAGAACAAAGGAGTGAGGAGGGATAAGAGAGAAATAGGGTGGACGAAAACGTTTCATGAGGATTATAATTTCTATTTCCCAATCGCCCACCATGACTCCTAAAAACGTCCCTTAATTTATATGCCCCGGAAAATTAAACAATTCTTTTTTTAGATTTAACGTAATTTTTTTGCCTTTTTTGAAAGAAATGAAAAAATTATTACACAACGCGTGAAGTATAAAGTTAGTTAGGAGAAAAAAGATTCCATATTTTTTTTTACAACGGCAAAAAAAAATGCGAAAAAAGGTTTCTTCAAATTGGTTATTAATTAATTTCTTTATAAACGATATGTGTACACGGATATACACATCTAATCTGAAAATATCACATAAAAATTCTTAACAGAGGTAAATTTGTAAAATAAACTTTCTACTATATTGTTACATGAAATTCTTTACCATGATTTTAAAGACCAAAGGATAATAATGTTTGCTTTTACTGCGTTTTATAGTAGAATAACATCGATCTCGTTGATATTATATTCGCCGCAGGATATATTACATTATCTTTTGTAGATGATGTATTTGAAATGAAAGGTTTAAGAAAATTGATTGAATGTTCAACAAATATTGTGAATATTTCGTTAACGTTAGCCATTTCTAAATAATGGCCTTTGTTTTGATATTTTACGTAATATTGCTAGTATGTTGATAACGAAAATGTGTATCTTCTCTTAACTTCTTTTTTATTTTCGAAATATTTCTTTTGCATGTATTACGTAAAAACCGTTGTTTTTACAAAATGAACAACGGTGACATAGTTTTAAATTTTACTAAAACTTATATATAGAATATTTCGCATATACAGGAGAACATCGCATTGAAAAAGCTGCGGACAATAGGATTTGAAGGGAGACAACGATTTTCGAAAAAACATTTGTCCAGAAAGTTTATTGGATATTTTATTTTCGTCGACTGCTCGAAACGATATATCCAGTAGTGTATTTGTACTTGCTATCCATTGATATAGGTGTATATTCATCTAAAGGGATGGATGTGTCGATGTAAAACTACGGAAAATCAATCGAACAGTCGCTACGCTGTCAGCTAACATAAAACGTAACAGACTGTTTAAACCGAAATTGTTACAACCAACGAATTTCATTTTTTCTTTGTTAAATTATACTACTTTTTTAAACAGAGAATGTTTGGGCATAAATCTTTTTTTTTTTACCTTGCACGAGCCAACTCAAAATATATATATATATATATATATATATACATTTGTACCGCTACATTTGTGTTTTGTTTACCCTAGACTAATGTTAACGTTTACGTGCAGGAAAAATATACACACGTAAAATAAAGTTTGTTCAAGATATCGATTATTTGTTTTCTTGTCACAGCTTATTCTAAAATATACTTCGTTTTATCGATAATCGATTCAATTGAGCGGTTTGAAGTTTCGCACTTTCTCGAGTGTCTTTCAAATAAATAGAATGTCCATTTGAGAAGGTGTTTGAAGAAACTATGAAGAAAAATGGATAAAAAATATGTTGATAGATAGAATATATTAAAATGTATGCGATAATAAGTGATTGTACACTCGTAACACTAGAGACGCGTCTAAAATAAGAAGTTGCTATAGGGATACTCTTTATTTTTCAAGCGTTAAACGAAAGTGTATGTATGTGTGTAGAAGAGTATAACGACATATAAAGATGTGTTTAAATTCAACTAAACAAGTATACTCGTATTAAACGTTTATCGATTAA